CTCAGCACCACATAAGCAAAAAGAAAAAAAGCCGGAAGTGGCGCTGTGGCTCAAGTGGTAGAGGGCTAGCCTTGAGCTGAAGCGCTGAAGGACAGTGCCCAGGCCCAGAGTTCAGGTCCCAGGACTGGACCCAAAAACAAAAACAAAACTTAAGGACAGGCCTACACCCTGAGTTCAAGCCTCACAACTGGAGGAAAAAAATTAAGAGAAGTATTGGGACTTTTTTTTTTTGCCAGTCGTGGGGTCTGAACTCATTCTGGGCACTGTCCCTCAGCTTTTCAGCTTAAGGTTAGTGCTCTACCACTTGAGCCACAGTGCCACTTCCAGCTTTTTCTGCTTATGTGGTGCTGAGGAATCGAACCCAGGGCCTCATGCATGCAAGGCAAGCACTCTTTCACTGAGCCACCTTCCCAGCCCCAGTATTGGGACTTTCTAAAATGCTCTAGTCTGAGATTGGCCTTCAGGGTAGTGTCTCTAACACTTAGGATCCTAACATCAATAAATTACTCTTGAAGTATATATGTATGTATGTATGTATATATGTATATGTATATATGGATGTATATATATGTGTGTGTATATGTATATATGTGTATATATGGATGTATGTATATGTATATCTATATATATATATGTATATATGGATGTATGTATATAAAGGGTCTCATGGGCTTTCCTGCCTGGGGCTCACTTTGAACTGCAATACTAGATCTCAGCCTCCTAAGTAGCAAGGATTATACTCGTGGCCATCAGCACCCAGCTAGCTTATTAACTAAGATATTTTTAAGTAATTCCTTCATTCCTTAATGTAGGAAGAAAACATAATACCTTAAGAAGGATATTTGAGGGCTGGGAAGGTGCCTCAGTGGTAGAGCGCTTGCCTTGTATGCATGAGGCCCTGGGTTCAATTCCTCAGCACCACATAAGCAAAAAGAAAAAAGCTGGAAGTGGCGTTGTGGCTCAAGTGGTAGAATGCTAGCCTTGAGTTGAAAAGCTGAGGGACAGTGTCCAGGCCCAGAGTTCAGGCCCCATGACCGGACCTAAAAAACAAAAACAACAAAAAAAAGAAGGATATTTGAATTGATCCAATAATCCCATTTCTGAGTATTTACTCATAAAATTTGAAATAAGTACTTACATTTCAAAAAGCTAGGAAAAAAGAATACAGTGGCACACATCTGTAGTTTTGGCACTTGGCTTGGAAGAAGAGAATCTCTTTAGTCCAAGAGTTTAAGGCCGGTCTAGGCAACATAGCTAGTCAAAATAGGAGGATTTATGAATGTTTTTACTGTAAGGAATAAATGATTAGGGTGGTAGCTCAAGCTTGTCACCTTAGCTTTTCCAGGAGTTAGAGATTGAAGGGTCATGGTTTGAAGCTAGCCTAGGCATAAGAAAGTTCTTGAGACTCCATCTCAACCAGTGGCTGGACATGGTGGTATGCACCTATCATCCCCAAAGTAAAAGCCTAGACTCACCTGCATAAAGCAATACTCTACCTCAAAAAAGAAAAATTTAGCTGGGCATTGGTGGCTGACCTTGGAATTCTACCTACTGAGGAGAATGAGATCTGAGGATCAAGGTTCAAAGCCAGAAGCCTATGAGACTCTTATCTCCAATTAGCCATAGAACAATATAAGTTGTAAAGATGCCTTTTTTTTTCTCTGTCAGTACTGGGACTTGAACTCAGGGCCTCATGCTCTCACTTGGCTTTTTTGCTGATACCTGGTGAGCTACCACTTGAACTATGCATCAGTCTGGCTTTTCTTTTCTTTTTCTTTTTTTTGCCAGTTCTAGAGCTTGAACTCAGGGCCTGGGCACTGTCATTGAGCCTCTTTGTGGCTCTACCATTTGAACCACAGCACCACTTCCCGCTTTTTCTGTTTATGTGGTTCTGAGGAATTGAACTCAGGGCTTCATGCATGCTAAGCAAGCACTCTTCCACTAAGCCACATTCCCAGCTCCCCAGTCCAGTTTTTTTTATAGTTAATTGGAGATGGAGTCTCCCTGACTATTCAGCCCCAGACTGGCTTCAAACCAAGATCCCCCAGACCTTCAGCCTCCTGAGCAGCTAGGATTACATGTGTGTGCCACCAGTACCTGTTATAAGCCACTCAGTTGGCTCCTACCTGTAATCCTAGCTACTCAAGAAGCTGAGATTTGAGGATGGTGGTTCAAAGCCACCTGGTGCACTAAAGTCCATGAGACTCTTATCTCCAATTAACTATAGAAAACCAGAAGTGGCACTGTGGCTCAAAAATGGTAGAGCACTAGCCTCGAGCAAAAAAAGCTCAGGGGGCTGGGAAGGTGGCTCAGTGGTAGAGCGCTTGCCTTGCATGCCTGAGGCCCTGGGTTCGATTCCTCAGCACCACATAAGCAAAAAGAAAAAAGCCAGAAGTGGCGTTGTGGCTCAAGTGGTAGAGCGCTAGTCTTTAGCTATAGAGCTAAGGGACAGCACCCAGGCCCAGAGTTCAGGCCCCATGACTGGACCTAAAAAAATTAAAAAATAAAAAAGAAACAAAAAGTTAAGCTGAGCATTGGGTGACTCATTCCTAAAATCCTAGCTACTCAGGAGGCTGAGATCTGAGGCTTGTGGTTCAAAGCCAGCCCAGGTCTCTAATTAACTACCCAAAAGTTGGAAATGGCACTGTGGTACAAAGTGGTATAGCACTAGCCTTGTGTAAAACAAGCTTAGGGCACACACAAACCCTGAATTCAAGCCCCAGGACTGGCACAAAACACAACAAAACAAAAAAGTTAAATTGACCACCCTCTTGAATAAGTTGTTCATGAGTAAAGTTTCTGTACAATTTTAGGGCCTAGGCGAACACATCTTCCAAGGGCTTAAAGTACAGCAAGGACAAGTGTGTCAGTAGATGATAAATGTCTCTGAGGGCAAAGCAAGAAATTTGGGGAAAAAAACCCCAGCATCACTGAAAGATGCTATTATTTATTTATTTACTCTTGTTGGCTGCTGTTCCCAATCTCAGTTGCAATTCCCACATTGAGCCTGTTCCCACCCTTCCTGTGTCCCTTGAGCTGAGCAGACACTTCCTGTCCTATTGGAAATGAAAGCTGGCGATTGGGGGGTGGATGTGGGTATGTGCCTTTACTCTGCAGAATGCTAGTATTGTCTGTTCTATTATCACAGCAAGAAAAAAAAAATGACAAGAAAACTAAGAGTAGAGACCAGGAGTTCATTTTAGGGAGAGTTTGGGATTCGTGTTCATTGTGATAAAGCAAATAGGTTTCATTTACTTCTGGAGAAGTCTTGGACCGATGGCAGCACGTCAGCCTTATACAGGGATCTGAAGGCCTTTATTTTATATCCCAGTCGACTTGGATTCGTTGGGGTCCTTGTTTATCATTCTTAGGTTTTTGATCTTCTGCAAGTTTCTTTTCTTGTTAAAACTGTGTCTCCAAGAGCTTTCCTTGGAAACTGTTAGAGGTGAGTCTTGTTGCCACTATGATAGGTTCTTGACTCTTTAAGTTCTTTCTTGGAAAAGTTTGTATTTTTCTCCTCTGTGATACATACGCTTTTTCAATATTCATATACTTTTTTTTTTCCAGCTCAGAGACGACTTGAAACAGACATACTGACTCTGTGAAATTCAGCTTGGCCATAAATTCCAAGTTTGGTGAGTTACTGGACTTTTTTCAGCTTTGTGGATCCGAAAGACTAGGAAATAGTGAGATAAAGAGTCAAATAAAGGCTGATGGGCCAGGGTAGAGTACTGACCAAACATGCACAAAGCTAGAATCATAGGCTCCATCCCCAGCACTGAGGGTAATGGGAGATCCAATAAGCTAGCTTCCACTTGCCAAAGAACTTGCTAGGCACTGAGGTTGATGGTATGGTTCAGTCTGAGAGTGCCTTTTTCCTAGGTGAATCTGAAATAGGAGTGTGGATTGGGATACTAGCCCAGCAGTGCAGCCCACGAGAAACAGAACTACCCAGGGTCTAAAATTACTTCCCATACTTTCTTTTTCTTTGCTCTTTGGAGGTACTCCCTCCCTTCTTTTCTCCCTTCCTCCCTCCCTTTTTCTCTTCCTCCTCCTCCTTGTCTCTCTCTCTCTCCTCTCTTGTGTGTGTGTGTGTGTGTGTGTGTGTGTGTGTGTGTATACCAGTAGTGGGGCTTGAACTCAGGGCTTTACACTCTCATTTGGCTTTTTCCACTCAAGGCTGGTGCCTATCACTTGAGTCACCTCTACTTCTGTTTTTTTTGCTGGTCAATTGGAGATAAGGGTCTCATGGACTTTCCTGCTCCCCTTGGCTTTGAGCCTCAGTCCTCAGCTCCCAACCTCCTGAGTAGCTAGGATTACAAGGCCTGAGTCTCCAGCACCTGGTTTGCTTTGTTTTTGTTCTTTGTTGGAGATCATCCTAAATGTAACGTAGGGGAATCCCTGAGCGTACCTTACAGCTCCCTCAGTAAGATTTTCTTCTATGATCTCAAAAGTATCTAAGGGGTTACTTTAACATCAAGCCTGATATCAGCTTTAAGGAAGTGGGGAGGAGTTTGTGGTCTTTTTATGATAATCAGAACTTGTTCAGAGAGGAAAGTGGATGAATTTCAAAGAGGTTAGACCTCAGAACTTCTTTTTGGCTTTAACTATGGAGCCTGTTGTCAGCAAACCAAAACAGAACATCTTGGGCATTAGGACCCAGTGGAGTGGCTTGTCCAGACTGTGAGTTAACTTCTCAGTGACGTACTGGAGCAGCCCTTGCTCATTCTTACCCACAGCACCCCCCCCATCTCCCATCTCTCTCTCTCTCTCTCTCTCTCTCTCTCTCTCTCTCCCTCTCTCTCTCTCTCTCTCTCGCTTTCCTCTCTCTTCCCTCCTTCTCTCCCCCCTCTGTTCTTCCCTCCCTCCTCTCTTCTCCCTTTCTCTCCTCCTCCTTCCCTTTTCACTCTCTCTCTCCTCTCTCTCTCTCTCTCTCTCTCTCTCTCACACTCTCACGATCTCTCCCTCCCTCTCTCTCTCTTCCTCCCTCCCTTCCTCATTCCCTCTCTCCCTCTCTCCCTCCCTCCCTCTCTCTCTCACATCTCCCCCAACAGTAAGGAGAAAAATGCTGCTATCAGTGACTTCCAGGCCTGGGATTTCAACTTTTGGCTATAACAAGAACAACAAGAAGGTAGGGGAAAGCGCTTTTTTTTTTTTTTGGAATGTAGCTACTTCCTCTTCTGGGGATCTGCGAGTGCCCTTGGTTTTAGCAGGCTCCTTGAAGAGTGGAGCCAGATTCCTCCCTCTCAGCGCCTCTCTCCTTTCCTACCAATTTTTTGGTGCTCTTCTCACCTGGTTCTGGAGTTTAAAGAATTTACAGTTTCAGTGTGTGGGACCTGAGAAGGCAGAGAAATTAAAACAGCAACAATGACAACGGAACAGCCTGAAAGTTTATATCTTTGTGCAGTGGAGTTAGTTTAATTTCCCACTGATGTACAATCTTCACAGGATGAGCAGTATGTCATTTTAGAATTTGTCTCCCCACCACCCCCCACGTGGGTTTTTATTTGTTTATTTCATTTTTACCTTTTGGGTCATTGTTTCTATTCTTCACGCTATCTTTTTTCCTTCCTACCTATACCACCAGATAGGCGAGATCGCGGGTAGTCAGTGAAATCTCACAGTTCACCAAGACCTGGGTGGGTGCTTCTCAACCAGAATACACCCCCCCCCCCGCCTTTACTCCCAGTAGCCCAAAGAAAACTCCGGAGGAGAATTGAGAAACTGAGAGAAATGCCTTGGGATTAAGGCAGAAAGCTCTGTGATTCTTTAGGTCTTTCTTTTGAGCTGGTACTTGGAGCTGTGCAGATAAGCCAGGCTTAGCTGGGATCCTTGGAGTCCTTACAATTAACCCATGGCTGCCAGAGGAGTTCTACTGTGGTTTGGCAAATGAGCAGTTCAGGGAGTGAGGGGACCTGCTTGCCCACATTTGCCAGGACACAGATTTGGTAGTTGCTTGGCGTTCCAGGGTACACAATCCTGATTAGAATAAACTATGATGCTGGAGCAGGAAGACTTTTTACCTACTGTTCTGGGTGTTGTAGTTGTTCCTTGAGGAAAAAAATGTGTATCAGTAGTTAGGGATTTAATTTTTATTGTTATTGTTCATCTAATATAATATTTGATAGTGGGAAAAGATTTCTGCTGCTTTCTCATGAACCTATAGGTACCATTACAGATAGAAACTCAAATATCTGATTAGGTCAATAGACCCAAATGCTTCCTGTTAGTTTTCAGCTGTTGGTTTGTATAGTATCCATTCTGTTGATGGCTTTAAGAAATAAAAGTCCATACATATTTTGTTGGTTACCAATATGTGTGTTTGTCCATATATCAAAATTCTTCCACCAACTATATAGGTCTTCCTCATGTATTATAACTATGCATCTGAAAGGGGACATTTCATCTATTCTCTTCAGATCTATATAGTTCTGTATAAAAATTTCTTTCTTCATTTTGCTTTTTTCCAAGTTTCTCAGATGACCTAGAACCAACTTAAATACCCATGCCCGTCCCCCACCCCCCGCCTGCCAATTAATTTTTTCTTATTTCAGGATTTCCTGTCTGTGAAAATATCTCACATCTCTTTTCTCTGCTCTCCAGACCCTTTCCTGTCTTGGAGTATGGGTAATGGTTAACCAGCTTCCAAATCTAGTCTAATAGAGGGACAGAAGCTATGAGTGTGGCCATAGGTTCAAGTCTCCTAACATTAATTGACAATCCAGAAAGTTTGAGGGAGAAGGCCGGCCAGGCAATGTTGGAACCTGTGGACAGGGAAGGAAGGGAAGGAGATACATGATTCCTACTATATTTGTACATAATTTTCTGGGTTCTTGATGCTGTGTCCACATTATTTTGAGGCTGTGTGTGTGACTGCTTGTGAATTTTGGCTGTATTAATTATTACATTGCTCTTTGTCTTGGTGCTAACATGTAGAGTTTAATGTGTTTGACTGTGTTGGAAGGTGTTTTGGATGCATTTATTCATGTAAAATAATGTGTGTGTGGGAGGGGTGCGGGGTCACTGTCCCTGAGCTTTTTTTGTCCAAGGCTTGGTGGTTAATTGGAGATAAGAGTTTCACAGACTTTGCTGTTTGGGTTGACCATGATCCTCAGATCTCAGCCTCATTCATAACTAGGATTATAGACTTGAGTCATGAGCACTTAGTCTGTTTATATAAATTGATGCATTTTTACCTAAGGCTAAAACTTTAAAATAACTTTCATTAGTTTAAGGTGATAATTGTAAGACATAGTTATTTCTAAATAAAACATAAAGAAGTTTATAAAATAAATCTTCCTTCATGTCCTTATGCCGATTCCAGTCCTCAAAGAAAATAACAAGAAATAGTCTGTCCAGACTGTTCTATGTCAGGACAGTTTCTATTTTGACAATGGCTAGTTTTCCATCTCTGTTAAAAATCTCTGTTACACAATAGACCAAGTATATGGAAGTAGAGTTTTGGCTCAAGCGGTAGAGCACCATCCTTGAGCCAAAAAAGTTTTAAGGATCAGTGCCTAGGTACTCAGTTCAAAACTCAGTACTGGTAAGAAAAAAAAAACAAAAACAAAAACACAAAACATTGTTATTGGGCCTAACTGAAAGGGTTCAGAGCTGGGGCTGGACCTCACCGGAGCACGTGCTTAGCAGGCACAAGGGCCTGAGATGGGCTCTGTCTCTGTACCTTTACTCTTCCCCAAAGAATTGAAATAAAAACTATACACATCTACTGCTTTCTTTAAATGAGAATTCTTACTGCATGATTTACTTCTGGCTATAGTCATCACCTCCAGTTTGTGGAGTAATTATAATATAATTATACTATAATTGCCAGTGATAACAGTTTGGAAAGCTGATATTTTACTTAACTTTAAAAAAGTAGGGGTTGGGAATGTGGCTTAGTGGTAGAGAGCTTGCCTAGCATGCATGAAGCCCTGGGTTTGATTCCTCAGTGCCGCATACACAGAAAAAGCCGAAGTGGTGCTGTGGCTCAAGTGGTAGAATACTAACCTTGATCAAAAGAAGCTCAGGGACAGTGCCCAGGCCCTGAGTTTAAGCCCAGGATTGGCAAAAAAAAAAAAAAGAGAGAGATTATTTTATTCTGAAACATGTTGGTATTTTTCTCTTTATGTAACTTCGCAGGGAAGGTGTTTTTCTGAGATACTTATGGCAGTCATACTTCTTTTGTTGACTGATAATATAGAAATGTAGTCAACAAATGTACTTAATGCTTAAAAAAATGCCCAATTCCCATTCATTTCTTTGGAATTAAAATAGTTGCAGAAGAAAGTAATGTAGCTTTCAAAAGGAGATTCTGCAAGATAATTTAATGTGCCATTTATTTTTATTTTTTTATTTTAATCATCAGTCTTAATGGCCTTCAGCTACTCTTGGTTAGTTGAGTCTGAATCCAGAAAGATTCATCCTAGCTTCTGAACAAAGTGTCTTGGGGTTTGAAGGGATTGCCTCAGTAAAGGGACTCAGTATAGGTGAGAGTGGAAGAGGAAATGTTTGGGACTGAAGGAATTTCATACTTGCAAAGGGTTAGCCACGCCTCCGCTGACATCATCTCCCTGGCATGTGTTATTATAATTTAACTCCTCCAGCATCAACAGTCATTTCCTTTGGGCTAAAAGAAAAGGGACTGCTTTTTATTTGGAATAATTACTTTCCCTTAGTATTTTGCAAAAAAAAAAAAAAAATCTTTTCTTTTCATAGGGGAAGCTTGAATTCAGGTCCTTACACATGTTTAACTTTCTTTCTCCTGGCTGGCACCCTACCATTTGACCTATACCACCAGTCTGGTATTTTGCTAATTTTAAGGTGATAGTCTTGAAGACTTTTTGCCTAGGCTGGAGTTGTTAGGATTACAGGAGTATAAACTACCAGCACTCAGCTTTTTTATTTTTATGTTTTGGGACAAGCTTACTAAACAGCCCAGGCTGATCTTAAGCTTGAAGTCTGTTTTTCTTGTTATCAGTGTACTAAAGACCTCTGTGGGGCACTAATGGAGACAGGACTGGTAGATTTCCATAGCCTCATTCCTTGACAAGCTTCAGTTGCCTAAGATTGTCAGGTTTATTGCACAGAGAACAGAAAGTGGCAAAACAATGTAGTATCATGTATGAGAGAATTTCCCATCTGTTTACAACCTTCCTAGCTAGCTCCCACCAAATCAAAATTAAATTTTATTTATTTACCTACATATTGATTCGGTCATTGATTTGTAAAAATTAATTAATTAATTAATTTTTTTGGTTGTGCGGCTTGAACTCTAGGCCTGGGTGCTGTCCCTCCGCTCTTCAGCTCAAGGTCCTATAGCACTCTACTAAATTGGGCCACAGCGCTGTCACTTCTGGTTTCCTGAGTGGTTTATTGGAGATAAGCGTCTCACAGACTTTTCTGCCTAGGCTGGCTTTGAACTGTGATCCTCAGATATCAGCCTCCTGAGTGGCTAGGACTATAGGCATGAACCACCAGCTTCTGGTCTCAGTTATTCATTGATGTCATTTATTTATGTATCTTATTTGCTGGTACTAGGGTTTGAACTCAGGCCTTACTCTCTCACTTGGCTATCATTTAGTTTAGAGATAGGATCTCCCGTGTAATCCAGGATGGTTTTGAACTTGTGGTCCTCCTGCTTCTGCTTCCTGAGTGCTAGGGTTCCAGGAATGCACCACCATACTCAGCTTTAAAGAACTTTTAAGTCTAACTTCTCATGATGATGTTATATGTTTTTTGGATTTGGGGTTTGTTTTTTGTGTTTGCTTTTTGTTTTGTTTTTACAAGAACTCTCCTTTGTTCACTCTAGCTTCAAATTCCTGGACTCAAGTGATTTTCCTTTCTTAGCTTCCTGAGGAGCTGGGACTAAAGTTACTTACCACTGGGTCCAGCTATCAGTGTTATTAGTAATATGTTGACTCAGGTGGTTGAAGTTTAGTGGTACTGTCTTACCACTGATCCCTCCTTCCCATTTTTAGTCCTAATTGATGCTCTGAATTCTATCTTTACCACTGTACTAAAAATCCCACACAATTTCATTGTCCCCTATTTTTCTTTTCTTTTTTTTTTTTTTTTTACCAGTCATGGAGCTTGAACTCTGGGCCTGGGCACTGTCCCTCAGCTCTTCAG